ATGAAAATAAACTTAATACAATAAGTAAATTTTCTTTCCCCGCTACTGAAACAGTTGAATTTAGCGTTGATACGCAGTTAAGAACATTGACGTCTATATGCTAATATATGTCCCTGAACTTGCCTTCTGTGGGGTCATTATTACATGTTTAATTATGATATACATATTATTCTGGCCAGCCCACGCAATAAAAATTTCAATAATAAGGTCTGCTTGGTCTGGTCTCTGTATAATATTTGTAATTGACACAACGTCATTAAATAAATAAAAACGTTTTGTATCTACATTGACATTTAGACTGCTGATTCATCCCGTTCCTGTAAAGAAGTTCACCGAGAAGATGTTATGAATCTCTTTACTATGTAATTTTCTCTCCTCCTTTCAATGTCCTCTGCCTTAGGACCAAGTATTCTCCTCAGCACCAGGTCTTAAATGCCGTCTTCCCGTTGTGTAAGAAATTAAAATGGGACCCACGCGAAAAATTATCTTACCTTATCAATTTTAGTTTTTCTGCCTTTCTGTGAGATCATTAACCTGAGGATGGAGGCAGAAAGTACCTCTGAAAATTGCAAACTTCCACAAAATTTCACAGTGCTTCAACCCAGAAATCTTCGTCCTCGCCGTCATGAAAAACTCTGATTTGATTGTTAGTAAGCGTTTCTCTAATGTAATACGCCCTTAACTGGTTCATATATGCAATTATGATTTATAATTTTGCATACGAGGCTCGTCCACAAAGTAAGTTTCCCTGGGGCCGTTTACAGAAACAAAACACAATTTCATGGAAATATTTATTGCAACAGATACAGCAAGTGTCCAGCTATTTTTCAACATATTCGCCACCGGAATTGAGACATTTGTCATACCGTGGGACCAACTTTTGAATACCTGTGTCGTAGAAGTCTGCCGCCTGGGATTGGAACCACTGTGTGACCACCATCTCCGCCTCTCTGTCATTCTCAAAACGCTGACGCTGACGCTGACCGGACAGGAATTTCTTGAGGTGTAGGAAAAGATGGAAATCACTGGGAGCGAGGTCCGGGCTGTAGGGTGGATGATTAAACACCTCCCAGCTGAACTCCTGCAGGAGACTCGCTGTCCGTTGAGCCGTGTGCGGCCTAGCGTTATCACTGACCGCACTTCACAGTCGGCGGGGGCTGGAATAAGAACCTCCATCTTCAACAGCTGCAACGATGCTACTGTGAGAACGCGGGAAGTGCCGTTAGTGCATGTGCCATGCTACGTCATTGCTCTATCACGTACGCACAGTCGCTTCGCGCAATATAAGGTTTGCTAGCTGTGGGACGAGTGGGAAACTTACTTTGTGGACGCGCCTCGTACAATGCTGAGAAAAAATCGCCTAACTTCCATTGACGCGTTCTTCGGGTTTAGGTATCTGGATGATTAAAAATACGGTTTGTTTACCTGAAGTTGAAGTGTAAAAACGTAAATTTGAACCTGTTTACAAGAATGACACCCCGGAGAAGTAGTTTGTGGGCGGGGATAGAAGTAAAGTTCCAATAATTCTTAACACCTGCACTGGATCAAGGTAAGTGGTAATCTTCACTCAAAGGCTGCTTTAACGCGGTACGCGCTTAAGAGGAGTCTGACACGGCTACAAGGACGGTCCGGATGCTGGGAACCAGGGCTGTAGAGTCGATACTAGAATCTCTGACTCTGACTCCTACCCCTTCATAAAAGCTCAATATGTATTAATAATGGTAAACCTACTAAAATGGTAAATGGCACCATAAGAGATTTCATCACCACCACGTGAATCATCAGCCTACATTTTAGACTTATAACCTATATTTAAATACACGTCTAATGGTTATTGCAGAAATCGGTTGAATTGTAGACAGTTTGTATTCTCAAGGTGCCGGAGCCAAAGTTATAAAGCATTATTCCCACACCATGTGGCTTAAAGCGTCGTTGAATCCCTCTAAGCTTGAGGTCGCCTGCGGCTCACACGGTAGCGAAAGTGTTCTTAAGATTTTTTATCGAGGTCGGAGGCGGTACATTTTTATCGACTCCGACTCCAAAGCCCTGCTGGGATCCAAACCCTGTCGTCCACTGAGTAGTCGCTGACTTTGCTGAGTAACTCTGCTCATCAGGAAGAATCAAATTGGAGGAACATTAGCTTGTATGTGGAAAATAAGAACTGGATACAAAATTTTGGTTGGAAAACCTCGAGGAAGATCCACATGGTAAACATTTGAACGTGCTAAATGGATGGTGTGAGATGAATGTGGCGTCCATCAACGGGCTGTGATGAACCCTTGTTTTTCATGAAGGAGGGAGTTGAAAAGTGTTACTTTTCTTCAGATTTTACGGATTAACCTCTCTGGCCTGTTCCAGACATTAACTTCTGAAACTGTGAATCCTTATAGACATTTGTCAGGACTCCTTGGGTGGCTGAATGGTCCATTGCCAGGCCTGTGCCTACACATTACGCCACAATGCAGAAAACCCGTATGCCTCAAATGGAGTTCAGACCCCCACCCAATGTGCTCGGCAAAGGATTTACTTCTCGTTAGAGTTAATGAGGTAATTCGAGATCTATTGGTACTGCAAGTATGCTCGTCCTCTGAGGCACAGTTTACTGAATCCATGACGTGACCGAGGCTGCGTGCTACTTGGGTGACACGAATACAAGTTCTCTGTTTTACCCACCGCCTCACAAGGACGGGGAGAGGCTGGGTCTTCTACACGTGTACTAGTGTTTACATTGTGAAGGTGGGCACTCATTGACACGTGTTTCATAACCTCCTGTTCTGGATTTATAGGACCTGATCACGTAGAACCACGTCTTCATTATCTTCATGTATTCAGTAAGGTAGTGCCCCTCAGATCGTCCAAGGTGAATCGCGAAATATCAAAAAATGGACGAAAACCAATTAAAACGCGGTTTTAAATGGAGAAGCATGGAACCACGGAGGAATCCAAACTGGAATGGAGCTCACTGAACGAAAGTATTTAGCGTGAGGCCCAATTTAATTCTGACAAGAAGCGTTGAATAAAAATATCAAATGTGTGTTGGCCTATTAAATCTTGCATTTCCTTTAATATCTGGACGTCTGTTTATTTTTTTTAGCTATGACTATACTTCCTTTGTAGAATTAGGAATAGATTACGTCCCGGATGTACTCATTAACAATAACTTCAGAACTTGTTGTCTGTCCTATTTAAGGCAAAGATACATATCGAAACTTATTATTTTATTTAGTGTTCTGTCTGACGACAGGTCCATATGAACGGGATCCTTCCATCCTTTTCTCGGACTGGGATCTGTTCATATACGTTATTGGCAGATGATCCAGAAGTGGTTTGCCATTGCCTTCTTCTGTGTGTGAATGGAGTAATTGTTGGGATGCCACGGAGAAACCGGGGAAGCCCCCGGAGGAAAACTCCGTGTTGCCTAGACCACGGCCTTGCCCAACACAAGTTATAAATTCGGGCACCACCGGGAATCGAACCCGAGACCCCAGGATTACAAGGCCTGATGTTTTGTATGGATGTGAAACTTGTCCTCTCACATAAAAGGAAGTTTCTTGAAAACAGGATCCTGAGGAGAATATTTGTACCTAAGTGGGAGGAACTAGCAGGAGACTGGAGAAAAATGAAGAGCTATATAGTTTTTATTTTTTGCTAAGTATTATTAGTGTGACAAAATTAGGACAATGAGATGGGCGAGGCATACAAAACGCATTGGAAGATGAAAAATTATTACAGAATTTTATTCTGATAACCTGAAGGCAAGAGAGCACCTGGAAGACCTAAACAAAAATAGAAGGGTTTTATTAAAACAGGTCTTCAAATGTAGGGCGGAGAGTGTGGACTGGGTTCATGTGGTTAAGGATAGAGACCAATATCTGGTTCTTTTTAACACACTAGTGAATTTTCGGGTTTTGTAGAAGGCAGACAATTTCTTCACCAGATGAGCATTATTAACTTCTCAAAAGCAGTACCGTCCTTAGGGTGAGGCGGCAGCCGCAGGTCCCGTACTTCGGAGGGCCTCGCTCATCGACATTGAGAAGGATATTCTTCATGCGAAATGACACCTAAAGCGCCCAAGAAGTAAAAATATAACATAAAACATTTTCCAGTATAGCCTGTTAATTTCATTTTAACCCCGGAACAGATGTAGTGAATTCCATCCGTTCTAGAAGCACGCAACATGAGATTGTCGAAGCTGTTTTACTAGATGTAAAGTCATGAGTGCTTAGATTAGTTACTGGTGGCTGGGTAAAGGAAAAGTACTTGCGATATTTCTGCAGCTCATTACACATTCAAGGGTTCCTTGAATCCAAGAATAATACGACCAACCAAGTGATCCGGTGATGTTCTGGGTTTTGGCGCCGTGTAGGCTCGTCGAACTAACTCAACGCATTGAAAACCTCAAATCTCACAAACCAGTAAAACTTTTTAGTCCCTTGATTTGGCATTCTTCACTTGTTTAACTCGTAAATCTTGATACTCTTATACTGTATCCGAAACTTTGAGGAAACGGAAAACATTACTGAAATCATCACTACAGTCAATGCACGCATTCAAGACCAAACTGCCGCTATGGATATCTGCCACAAAAACAAGTTGATAGACGTTATATCTAGCGTAACAATTCTGGCGCGTTCGTTCTCTTAGTGCCTCATGGTCTGACGTCATGACAACCAAAACTCTCAGGTCCTGCCACGAAGAAATAAATGCGTGACCAGTAGTTTCGCCTGATGTCTAGGCAGCCAGAACATTACGCTCCTACTTAAAAAACACTTGTAAAAAGCATTGTATAAAAAAGCTCTTGTGTCAAGCGGGCATTAAAATTTTCCAACTTATGTGGAAATAGACATGGTTGGACTATTGCTCGCAAGACTCTCCAGTACTAAAATTCGTGCAAACCCTTCCCATACGCACTCCAACATCAGGGTTGGACGAATGAGCGATTAAAATCGATATACATCGATGCAGAATATGGTTGTCGCCAGTCTATTGCCATCTGTTGCTGACAAGGAGATATTGAAGTTCGTCATTCGGTCTCGACTGCTCAATTGTGTGTCCTACCCATAATTAGTGAATTAAACCACACAGTGTGTTGGCTCGTAGCAGCCTCTTGTTTACGTCTCAATTAGGTGACTCGTGTCATCTACTGATCTTATGTATAATTTAAATTGTTATACACTGCGAGTGGTTGTCTCCCAGGCTCTCACATCAGGTGTGATTAGTCATGAGGTGGGTATGGAGTTGTTAGAAGAAGTGAATGTGGAACTAGAAGTACTGATAATTTATAATGCCTTATGTGGTCTGAATAGTTAATTTGTAAACTATAAATTCACAACTATTAAACATTTTTATCTGACTGTCCTTATTAATTTTTATCATGTATTTTAGTAATGTTAAAGTATGAAACATAACCCCAGAGGTAGACCTTATGTCCATATCTATAATCTTTAACACAGAACACAATCTTCAAAAATTACTTCATATTTGTTTGACCACCTTCAGTCAATTTGTGTACTAATTTACTTACGCCTGGTTCAATATCTTCATCATTGGTATTTACACATATGCATGTGACACTTGCCATATTTACATGCTTCAGTACAAAATGTCAGTACACAGCTTTACAATTTTTAAACACTTAAAACAATTAACATGGTTTTTGTTACATCGCAACTATTAAACTATCAAAGCTAATCTACTTAATATTCACTTTAAAATATTGTATAAGATGAGATTTTCCAGGTTCTGATCTACAGGTTATCATACACCACACAGCCATAATTTTTTCATCAGTTTTGTAAATAATTCATTCACTTTCAATTCTCTGCTGCATTTGTTATGAAATAACTTACCAATTGCTATTGCTAATAAGCCTCAAAAGGAGTGAATTGTCATTAGTGCTCAGTTATTGCTGTTTTATTTACAGAAATGGGTGTTCGGGGACTAACTAGTTACATAGCAAAACACTCTGACCAATACCTGGAACCATATGAACTTAAAGATGGTTCCATTATTATAGATGGCAACAGTTTAGCATCACAGCTTTATAGCTTGGTATCCAATTGCAATTCTGCATTTGGTGGAGACTATGACAAATATGCTAATTATGTGAAATATTTCTTTTCTCTCCTAAAAAGAAGTTGTGTGACTTCATTTGTGATCTTTGATGGTGGATATGAAGCTAGAAAGTTGCCTACTGTTCGTGCCAGGTTGAAAGACAAAGTTTCTACTGCTAAAATTATTACACCTTTAACACAGTCCAAGTTCAAATGTTTTCCTCTCTTCATGATTGAAGTTTTTAGAGATGTGTTAGCCAGCATGGAAATCCCATTTGCTCAGTGTGACTTTGAGGCAGATGCTGAGATTGCGGCTGTAGCTCAAAGACTGCAATGTCCAGTTCTGAGTTATGATTCAGATTTCTATGTGTATGATGTTCTGTACATACCATTCTCAACTGTTGTTTTGAAGCCAGAAGAGCATGAATCTGTACAGTATACAGATGTTAGGCACCACATTGACTGTCAGATTTATAACAGAGACAAATTTCTTGATAGTCTTGGTGGTTTGGACAAGTCGTTGCTTCCTGTGGTGTCTGCTTTGCTAGGGAATGACTATGTTGAACATAGAATGTTTGAAAATTTCCTGTCACAAATACAATTGCCAAGGAACTGTTCTGTAAGCAAAACTGAACGACAAATTATGGGACTCTTCAAATGGTTAAAGAAAGAAAATGTGGAGACAGCTGTTGAAAAGGTAAGTCAGTTTATTGCATACATTTAGCATCTCATTCTGTTGTTCCAAGACTTATGTTGTACTAGAGTTGAAGACTATAAAGCATGAAATTTTAGAATTTTACCTTACACAGCCTGATTTACCATCTAGCCCAGCCCATCCAAAATCAGAGGATTACCTTTATTATGTTACTTGTGCTTGTTCGAAACCCAATTTTTCTGTACTCAAATCCAGTTCAAGCCTGAAGTACCAATAGCAGGACCAACTGTGTTCTGTGACAACAATAATTTGTTTATGTATAAATCTGTTAATGATCTTTAATTCTTTCCTCATTTAATTAAATTAATTTATTAAGTTTTTCCATGTTGGTGTAAGGTTATGGTAATAGTATTCCTTTTTCACCAGATGGAATATTTATTATTTTGTGAGTTAATTTTCTCATATATGACAACTGAACTTCAAGTGGTTAGCACATCTACTTCATATTCTGGAGGTCTTGGGTTCAAATTTCAGCCCAGAGACCTATCATGACAGGTTTTATGTTGTTTTTTTTCAGTCATTCCAGGCAAATGCCCGTATTGAACCTGAAATTAGTCCATGACCTTCCACATCCTTTTCAGTTCATTATTTATTGTCATCCTATCATTTTATGCTATATAATCTGAGGCACTGAATGCATCTGTAAATAAACTATAAATAAAGTTTTTTAAAAAAACCCCAAAATTGGGTTCTTCATTATTAAGTTTTTGTAGATTTGACGTCACTTTCTTACCTTCCAATGCATGTTTTGTTTTTCCATTTATCATTAGTAATAGAACCAGATATCACCAAAACTCACCATTGGATATAATCTTGACCCAGTTTACAACTTTGCAACTTGCCAAATGTCTGTTTTAATGTTAATCTCCCATTTCAACTCATGATTATATGGACTGTGTAATGTTTATTCCCTTTTAATTCTTTACAGATCCTTCAGCACATTGAAGGACGACAGCGTAAAGTTGTTACCAAAAAGCTGAATGAAATAATAGCTGGGTATAGAATACGTTTAAGCAATTTGTTTCCATATTTGGTCATACCAATGGAAGGCTGTTCAGAATTAGAATGCAGCTCTGTCACTGCTGCAAATCTGAAAGGGAAGGAAAATGTAATCCATTCATTTAGTGATTCATACACTGATAACAATTCACATCAGATCAAAACGGTTCAGATATATGAACACAAGGGTGGAAAGGAAAACAGGAGAAAACTTGATGAACCATTGTTGTATGATATAGATATGCTGCCACAAAATATGTTTCCAGACTGGTTCAAGGACAGCTTACGTTGTGGAAACCTTCCACGATGTTTCATCAATATGCTTGTTCATCAAATTCACTTTTCTGCACCACAAGTTGAGAACTTCTCATTACCATTCTCCCATAGAATTAGTCTCTCACTAATGTGTGCCATATATGGCCTCCTCACAGCTGGTAACGTTACACATGAGCTACAGTTACAGTATATTGTGTATAACAAAAATGCTCAACTCCAAACTCTCGTTCTGTCGCCCACATATGGTACTGCTTCAGTGAAAGTGTTTCCACCATTGAAGAGTATACCTGACTTACCAGTATCCATTAGAAGAAGCCTGCTGTTTGATGTCACGGGTTTTGATGCTGATGACATTGTCATCTTGAATAGTTTTCCAGATGAGTGGAAGATATTTATTGTTGCCCTGACTTACTGGGGTAGAAATGTGTCTGAACCATCACTTACAATACATCATATTCATGCAGTATTATTTAGCATAATTTCTTTGAATGTTGTTGACAGACGTGCAGGATATTACAGGTCAAAGAAAACTTTCTTAAAACAAAATGGAGACAAACTTAAGAAAATTGTTATGTTACAAAATGTTAAAGAAAATGAAGATAAAACTGATATTGATACAATTGAGGGAGACAGTGGAGAATTATTAGATTTGTTTAAAAATAATTTGCCTTGTGATAGAGAAAACAACTGTGGTTCAGTGACTGATGCTTTGATGGCAGTGTCAAGTGAAGAGTGTTTGTGTTTAGTTGAGACCATGTTACAATATCACCAGATGAATGATGGACTGAGGAGTAATCCGAGTTTATTTTCTGTGAGTGTAGTACACATGTTTGCACAGTTTCAGAGCTGCTTGCTGCATGTTAAGCATCTCAATGCTCTGCTCAACTTACCTTTCATACAATGTCGAGTTGACAACTTTTATTCAGGAACTTTTATTTACAATGCATATATGAGCTTTAAGAAACATTCAGATGTCGAGAACTATGTTCTGACTCATCTTTTAAAATGTGCTTCCTCAGTAGCAGCTTTATACAGAGTTATGGTAAAATCTGTAACAGATTTCTTCACACACTTAACAGTGACACAGAGAAGGAAGAGAACACACAAAAAGAAGAAAAAGAATGGTTCGAAATGTTATAATAAATCAGCAGGGGGTAATGAAGAAAATGTCAGTGTCAGATCACAGACTGAAAACATGAGATTCATAGACCATAACAGATTTTATGCCCTCAGTTTGGGTGGCAGTAATCAGTAATGTCATAAAATGAATGTAGCATCATGTAGTTTGGTGGATGTTGACTTACATTTTAGAGGATCTTACTGCCTCCATCATCAGAGTGATGCCACCCTTCCCAAAAGAAAGCCATCTTTCTACTTGTCGCTATGAGAACCTCAGAAAATTGTCTTTTAGAATTTGTGAAAGTTAAATTTCAATAATATTCTTCACATGGGTCTAAGTAACAGCATGTACTTAATACAATTTATCATGGTGACTTTTACAATTTATATATTCAACACCTGGTATTCCATTTGTATGAATTCAGCTTTTGCTGCTTGTTAAAAAATCATGACTGAGTATTGAAATCCCATAATGGATCTATTGTTATTTAATTAATTCTTATTTAACTATATATATTTATTGCAATTGCCTAAGATTGAAAGTTGATCAACTTTTTTTTTAAATCCTGTAGTCTTGAACTCATTTATACTTACAAAGTTGTTTATGCATTTTTTGTTTTCCAAATGTTAGGAACTATTTTTTATTTTATGTGTGTAGTGTTATGGCAAGGCCAGTGTAATTGCAGTGTTTTGCTGAAGAAGTACGTTAACTTAAAGGTAATCTCCTGTGGATATCCAGATTTCAGTTAGTCTCTTCCAAATATATGTTCCTGCAGGGCCTTTACAATATTTACACTACATTATATCATGATTCAGACCTTTTATAAAGAAGTTTAAGCCAGTTTATAAAGGATTCCCTGTCTCGCTTGTACTCTATAGAAGAATTTGTCATCCAAAAATTCTCAGCTATTATAAAATGTAAACAATATTGGGTATGGTTTTTTGTATAATTACTTTTTGTGGTAATACTGTTGATGACTTAAAATTACCGTCATAATTATGTAATTTATATTTGTATTAGAAACAAGTACTGTATCTGTGCTAAGATGTATGTCCTTGGCTTGGGCCAATGAAGGATCTATGGAATGTAAATAAATTCTGCTCTATTCTATAACCATATTCACAAGTTTTTTCTCCACTGCTATATTCAGTCATTTGTGTCTAAACAAACAAAAAGAAGTTGCAATTAAAAATAAATTAAACATTCAAAACACAGTAACTCAGACTATAACTTTAATAAGACACATTATATTAATTTTAAAATTAAGAGAAAAATGTCAGATACTGTCACAATAAGTTATAATAATAAATTCATTAATAATATCTTCTGTACTAAATTCTTGGGAATTATGATTGATGGTGCATTAACTTGGAAGAATCATATTGATCTACTTATTAAAAAATTGAGCAAGGCTTGCTATGTAATTAGAAATATGAAACCATATATGTCTATTTCAGTACTAAAGACAATTTATTATGCTTTCTTTCATTCCTTAATGAGCTATGGCATCATTTTCTGGGGAAATTCATCTAGTAGTTACACTATTTTTCTCCTTCAGAAAAAGGCAATTAGAACAATGATGGGATGTAGCAATAGAGTATCGTGTAGAAATATATTCAAAGAATTAGATATCTTACCGTTGGCATCACAATATATATTTTCTTTATTATTGTTTGTATTACAAAACAAAACTCTTTTTCCATCAAACATTGACTCTCATACTATTGATACTAGACAGAGAGAAAATGTGTATCTACCTCAAGCCAATTTAACTATTTATCAGAAAGGAGTTCACTATGCGGGTATAAAGATATTTAATGAATTACCCACAGAGGTTAAGAATACCTCAAATAATTTTAAAAAGTTCAAGGTTGCATTAAGGCATTTCTTAATTACTCACTCGTTTTACACTGTGGATGAGTACTTAATTGGATAACTATTGTAATAAAAATACTAATTATATTGTCTTGAATTTAGTACGCTGCTTGTCTAGATATAATTTTTTAATGTATGTATTTTATGTTTTTATACTTGAGTTTGTGACGTGTTCTATATCCACTATTGGATTCTTGGAACTTGTAAATAAATAAAAAAAATACTGCAAATAGAAAAGCTTCAACTTTACAACAAAATTGTTCCAGTGTCAATCCCGGAAATCTGCACAAAAACTTATCCTTTCCTTCTGGCCATTGATAAATGCACTGCCATAAATGTGCACAGATGTGATGGTAGTTTCGGGTGACCAGAATTGTAGATAGAACGCCTAACTGGGCAATGCAGCCAATGTATGATTTCTAGCACCGGCAGTTATTTTTTCCTTGCAGCCACATCAGACTGCTTCTGTGGCCCACCTAGACTATATAAAGTAACAGCAGGCTGCATAGAATCTGAATACATAGTTTTTTCCTCCATAAATAATATACCTGTTCTTCTTTTAGGGGCATATGTTTATTCTTGCCATAGTTTGGCATTTGAACCCGTCGTCAAAGATGAACTTCCAAGGATGTTAATGAGAGTGTACTTGGTGGTAGATTACATACAAAATTTCTTATTGTAAGGGAAATGAAGTATGTTAAAAGGACATTTAATTTCTTTATGTTTTCGATCCTGATCCATTTTAAAATCGTCAGATTGGGTCAGATCGATGTTAGTTTATTAGTTGTACTCTTGTTAATAAAAATCACCTAGATTGGCGTTTAGTGATTGAAAATTACTGGTAAGAGTTAGTGTGTGGTAACTTGAAAATCATTATAAAATAAGTTACTTCGTTTAATGTGCGGTATCCAAGTAATTTGAATGATTTAATAACTCCTCCCATTTAGTAGGCGTATTCCTATTTTCAGCGATGATACAAAGTGATAAATATTCATACTAGTGACTTTCACTTGCCTGGCTGTCGGATATTGTTTATTTGGGTGCAAATTTTATCATATAATTAGCCTGGTTAAAGGTGGTTTAAACGTGTAACAAGAAACTTGCATGTAGTATTGGCTCTGGTGTTTTCGATGACCTATTTTCGTTTTCAGGCATATCTGCTGAAGTATAACAACAGTTACAGGAGTGATAATTGGAAATTTAACACAGCAGAATGGCAGATCAAGGATTTCCTGATCAGCACACTACAACAGTCACATCATCTAATACCACTGTGCAGACAAATATTCGTTATGACCCCCTTTACATTCGGACCATTCCAGGGATGCTGAAAATAGCACAGATTGTAAGTAACCCATTTCCAGGATTTTAATTAGTGTTAATTTTACCACATCCAGAAGATTGTCAAAATCACAACTTCTCCACATCGGATATTAGGAATTACACTGATGGGAACAGGATCAGTTTAGTGTTTTCTTTTTATTTTCAGGTGCTGAATCTTTTGGGTTTCATTTGTATTACAGTATCATATGGAGCAATATCATCACGTGGCAGCTGGTTTAATACTGTGGCCATGGGTGGATTTTGGTTCACTGGAATACTATTGGCTTTGTACCTGTTTCATGTAATTGAGAAGTTCTATAGGATTCCATGGTTGAAGATAGTAAGTGTGTTCTGAGAATGTATTTTCATTACACGTGAACGTAATACATTTCTTATGTTATTTATTTTATAATACTTGTAAAACAATGGAATTTTGATATAACATGACCTGTACACAATATACATTTTGTAAGACTTGAGGTTCTCACAGCGGTGAGTATGAAGATTTCCGTCTTCTGGGTTGTTGTTGTTTCAGGGGTCATACTACCTCCGTCATTAGGGCGATGAATATATTCAACAACCCAGAAGACGGAAATCTTCAATATACATTTTGTTGCAACAATCCAAATATGTTTGGTTGAAAGGAAATCATTTGTATTGCTGATTTCACAGCTTTTTTTTTAATGTATCATTCTGCACAAAGTTATGTTTCAGGGCACTTCAGAGAAATGTACATAGGGTAATTATCTTTCCCTCAGAGTTTCAATCTCTTCTCTCTCTCTTGCTCACTTATTTTCACCTAAATAGCATATTTTAGTTCTGGTGGTTCTCAAATATTTTAGGTCCACAGACCCCTTTACAGTACTCAACACACTTGAGAACCCCTTACCACCACCACCCTCCCCAACTATGGGAGCTATGGGAAATTTAAAATGAATGGGACCATCTACACTGGATTTGGAACCAAGTGGTGTAGGAACCATCTTGCTTGCCCTAGTAATTTCAAAGGTCCCATTTGTGAAAGGTTGTGCTACATATAAAGAAAGATTGAAATAAAACCATGTACCACAGTTAATAATATGTATTCAAGAAAGATAAATGTATTTTGTGAAATTTTTAAAATGTTTGTCATATTTGTCTTTACTTACATATAGATTTCGTTTCACGTGCTTTTTCATTGGAACAAAACAAAATTGTATGGACCCCTTGGCCCAGACTTGTGGACATGGAGTTTGTGGATCATCATTTGAGAAACAATGTTCAAGTTCATTACTTTTGTGTTTACATACTGTGGATGAAAATTTTGATCTCTATTATCTACAGGCCACTGTTTATGAGGACCTTTTGTTTGAATATCTTCTGTATGATTAATTAGTTAGGTACATTTTATTTTTAAAGTTTAGTTGTGTGTTATACAATAGGATCCTCCCACATAACTCATGGTTCATGTGGGATAGGCCTTTTGTATTTATGTGTATGGTGTTGAACAAATCTGTTTCTGAAAACAATTTTGT